GGGGGGGGGAAGGCGCCACGTGTTGTGAGCCCAAGTAACGAGGAGAGCAGGCTGGGTGGGCACCTGGAGAAGCCTCTGGGAGGATCTGGGGTCTGGTGGGGAAGGCGGGTGAGGATCCCAGACGCAGAGCCTGTGTTCGAGGGCGATGGCGCTTCCTGGACTATCTAAGCTCTGGCCTCTGGATCTGGGAGCAGCCTGTGGGCAGAGCCTTCTCAGTAGAGGCCGAACCTGTGCTGGTTGTGGAGAGTGAGCATCCTGGGTCTGGAAGGCAAGACCTTGGGGACTAGGACAAAGAAAGGACTGCAGGTTCACCCTCACCGATAGGGGGCGCCCTGGTTTTCATGACATTTCTTGAACCTGGAGGAGAATGGACAGAGTGCTTTAGTTATGTCCTGGAGCTGGGGAGGGGCTGGGTGCCAGACCAAGGGCTTTCACAGTTTCCATTTAATATCCACATCCACCAGCAGCTTCGGTAGACTGTGCCCATTTTCTAGAGGACAGAGGACACCTGAGTCCTGCAGAATGCCTGGGTTTTCTTTTGGGAGGGAGTGGGGTATTACACATACCATCCACATAAAAGAGCAGACTTGATAAGGGCTTCTGTAGGGTCAAAAAGTGGTAAAGTTGAGGCTGGTCCAATTCTGATGTGCCCCTAGGGAACTGGAATGAGTGTGAGATGAAATCTTGTCCATTTCATGTTTAAAATCCTCCAATGACCAGAAAAGCAAATGCATGTGCACCAAAGACAGACCTAGAGTGTTCACAGCAGCCTCCAACTGGAGACCACAAATGCCCACCAACAGTTGAAAGTGCAGATGTCCTCTGGCACCTACAGCTACACCCTGGAATACCATGCAGCAAAGAGGAGAAGCAGAACCATAGCTGCTGATGAGCAGCAGGTGAACCTCACAACCATGACACTGAGTGAGAGAAGCCAGATACCAAAGGACACATGTTGCTCAATTCCATTTTTAGGAGATTCAGAAACAAGCAAAACTACTCTGTTCTGTTAGAAGTCAGGATAATGGTTCTCATGGGATTGGGGTCAGGAAGGGGCCCAAAGAGGGTGCTAGGGTTGAGTATGGTTCCAGTGGTCCCCCAAGAGTTCATATGTTGGAGGTATGGTCTTCACTGTGGTGATGTAAGGGTGGTGGGACTTTTACAAAATGGGACCTGGTGGAAGGTCGTTGCCTTTGGAAGGGATAAAGGGGTTGTATGAGACACTGGTGAATTTTCTTGAAAAGATTGTTATGGAGGAGCAAGACTGTGGTCTCCCAGGTCTCCTTAATTTCCTGTCTCGCCATGCAATCTCTCTGTCTCCCACCATGATGCCATCTGCCATGATGTGACATAGTCAAGAAGAGGCCAAATCAGTGGGGCCACCCAATCTTGATCTTTCAGTCTCTAAAACCATGAGCGAAAAAAAGCCTCTTTCCTTTATGCACTATCCAGCCTCTGGTATTTCATGAAAGCAACAGAAAATGTACTAAGACAGGGGAATTCTGGGGTGCTGCTCATATCCTGGCTGGGATCTCAGTGCAGGTCTCCCAGGTATGTTTGTCGTGTGAAAATTCATGGCATTGCACACTTCTGACTTGTACACTTCTCTTCACGTGTGATATGATTCAACACAATTTATTCAAACACCTCGTGTGTGTGCAGGCTGCACTGGAAATAGAAGCCAAAAGCCCTCTGTGGTCCACGAGGTCCTGCGTGATCTGGCCCTCCTGGCCTTGCTCGGCTGTCGCACTGCCCCTCACCCACCAGGCTCCTTCTGTCACTTCTGACACTTGCCAAGCTATTTTCCACCTCAGGGACGCTCACTTGCTGGTCCTTCTGCCTGGAAAGCATCTTCCTTGCTGTGGCCACGACTGCATCTTCTGTCTTCCATGCTTCACCCTAAAGAGGTCACTTTTCCCTAGAGGCCCTCCTGACTACCCACCTTGAGGAGCATCTCCAGCCCCACTAACGCTTCCCACCCATCACGGTTTAGTTAAAACACAAGCTCTTCTGAGCCACCCAGCACTCATGAGACAGGCTGGGGGTCATAAGTATGTGCTAGCATGTGCAAGGACCCGTTTCAATTCAAAGCACCTAAAAATCAAAAACAAAAATAAGAACTTCTTGGGCTGGGGATGTGGCTCAAGCGGTAGCGCGCTCGCCTGGCATGCGTGCGGCCCGGGTTCGATCCTCAGCACCACATACAAACAAAGATGTTGTGTCCGCCGAAGACTAAAAAATAAATATTAAAAAATTCTCTCTCTCTCTCTAAAAATAAATAAATAAATAAATAAAAATAAGAATTTCTAGCTATAGTCTGCAATGATCTTATTATGTCTTTGCTTATAGTTCATTTTCTGTAACCCCCACAAGACTAATAATTGAAAACAACATGGCATCCTTACTATTAGGTTAGGGCCAATGGCTCTTTAAAACCAATTTAAGGCATTGATTCCTCACCCCAAAACTTTGGGGAAACACTATTCTTAGCTCCATTTTAAAGTTCAGGCACACAGGGCTCAGAGATGTTATGTCACTTGCTCATGGTCACACAGCTGGGAAGCAGTGGAGCCAGGATTTGAACATGCACAGCTATGACTCCAGAGTACTTGCTGTTAAATTTACACTTGGACAGATTTTGTCAATCTTCTCTGTTGTTGTATAGCTGGGGCTGTCCGGGGCATCTGGGATCTGCTGGGATGCAGTTGGAATGCAATGAGTGTTTGCTGGGAGGACATGTGAATGAGTGAGTCGAGGAAGCACGGAAGGATGAGAAGTGGGGTGGGGGTACCTCGAACTCAAGTGAGTGAGAGGAGAAAAGCCGTGGTATCTGGAGTCTCACCAGCAGCTAACAACAGATGGAAGTCCCGAGACAACTGGAATTACCCACAAACCCTGGTCAGGGGCAAGGCCTGGCATGGGCCTGGCAGCACTTGGCCTCCCCTGCCAGGCACAGAGACTGTTTCCAGAGGGGCCTTTGCCTGGGGTCCCTGCAGTGTGCAAGCCGCTGGTAGGTGATGCTACCCTTCAGGTACCCAGGCTGCAGGGACCCCAGAGAGGTGATATGAAGTACCTGCCTCTGGCCAGAGGCTCTCAGACCTTTGGAACCTCCCTAGGATTAGGAAGGTCCCAAGTGACTTAGAATCCAGGCTGTGGCTGTGGGACCAGTCAGCGAAGACCACAGCGCTGGTGAGTCATCCTTCTTGAGCTGCCTTTCTGTCCTCAAGCCCCAGGAGCCGGGGCCAGCTGCATCGCTACTTCCTGGCTGTCCTGGTGGCGATGTCCATGGCTGTCCATTGACCTGGAGTGAACCCATATGCACCGCCTCCCAGTGGGTATCCTCCTCATTCTCCACTGGCCTCCAGGACAATTGAGACAGGTTCCTGAGGACTGAGGACACCCCAGGTGTGGCACTGCACTGAGGTCTGGGCCCCTGGGGGTGCTCTGTGCAGTCCGCCTTAGGTAAAGACAAACAAAGGCATAGAGAAGGGCGCGCCAGGCCAGTCGTGACCACAGGTTACAGCGTTCCAAGGCAGGACTGCTGGATTGTGGGCCCCAGGGACACTGCTCTGCAAGCAGCTGGCTATTTTCCAGGGCCTGGCTTAGCTCATGGGGCTCTGGCCACTTGTCTGCCCTGCATCCCCTGCAGGCTGGACCGTTTAACTTTTTTTTTTTTTTTTTTTTGTATTAGGGATTGAACTCAGGGGCACTCAACCACTGAGCCACATCCTCAGCCCTTTTTATATTTAATTTAGAGACAGGGTCTCACTGAGTTGCTTAGGGCCTTGCTAAATTGCTGAGGCTGGCTTTGAACTCACGATCCTCATGCTTCGGCCTCCTGAGCTGCTGGGATGACGGGCCACAGTGCCCAGCTTAATTTTTAGAGAGGCTCAGCCCAGGACTCTGAGGTCAGGCAAATGTGTACTTGAATTCTCACACCAGACAAGTGGCTCTGAGTGGATGCTGTCATCTCTAAGGGGGGATAAAGCTGCCCGCCCCTCCCCAGGTCGGAGGAATGTTACCTCCCCGCAACATTCCCTCTGAAG